AGCGCCCCCCCCAGGCCGGAGGAGCGCCGCGTGCGCAGGTGGCGGGCGCCGCCCTCAGAGCCGGCTAGCGGCTCCTCGCCCCGCTCTCCGCCTCCGAGCGGGCAGTGGTCGCTCACCACCGCTAGGCAAAAACGGAAAAGCTGTTGGGAAATCCCCACCTTACCCTCCTTTTTTATAATTTCCATTGAAATGGAGGGGGAGGGGCTAAAAGGTGCTTTGAGGCCCTAGAGATGTGAGGATTTGGCCACCTGCAGGCTCTAGCTGGAATTCAAGGGGGAAAGCAGACCGGTTGACCAAAACTGTGACCGAGGCAGGGGAAGGCCGGAGGGGGTGATGGCATCACAGAGGAGAAGGTTGAAAGGGGAAAAAAGAACTTCGCTTCCATCTTGCACGCAGATGCCTCCCCTGCTGTGGGGAGCATAGCGTCTGCTGATTCCAGTGAAGGGATGATTCATCTGGAGCCAGCTGCTAAATAGGACCAAAAAATCAGTTCCGTTTTGAAGGTAGTTTTGCTACCTGTTGATTTTTAAATGTTTTAGGCTCACTGAAGCGGTTTCTACGTGCCACAGAATTTCCTTTCTGTTATGCTTTCTCCTAGTTAGTCAGTTTGACAATACTCATGCTCCTGTTTCTACCCTCATTTTGAGTTTCAAGGTAACGTATTCAGAAGCTGCATTTTATGTGTGAATTTAAGCATTGCTACAGAGCGCTTGTACAATACGGACGTTTGGTGAGGCAACGGCCATGCATATGCTTTACCTCAGCCAAAAAGAGGGATTCTTAAATAAAAATACTTGCAGTAAATCATTTACAAACCATTATTGGTTTCTTGATGAAAAGGAAATGATAAAATAGCAAGACTTAATTGTTTATTATAATTACTATTTTTCTTTTTTCTTAAGCTAAAAAGAGTATCCCCGATTGAAATTGTAACTATGATTCAAAATTTTTTTCCCTTCTTCTGGAAACATATTAGAGATAGGGGCAAATAATGCCAAATAGAAATGGGAATTTGCAGTACCAAGAAACACAAGCCTGGAATGTGGTTTTGCAACCCAGAATATACCCCTTTAATATAATTTGCACCGTTTTTGTCCCATATCGGTGAGCAAGCTAGTCTGTATTTTTATGAACTGGGAACATGACTTTCTAGAAGAAAAAAGCTATAGGGCTCTATATTTTTATGGATTTTTTTATTCATTTTATTTGGATTTTTATATTTTTACGTTCTATGTTTATAGCTTTGTAGATAGTCTCAGCATAAACTTCAGCTCTCATATATTTGCTCAAGTTCCAAACAAGCAATGTTGTTTGACTTTTTATTTTGAAACAAAACTAAAGAAATTTAGGAGCAGATAACTTTTATTACCGATTCCCCACTTGCATCGATGCATGTTTTCCTACAAGAAACTCAATTTTAATACATGACCTAAGTAAGATTTGTAATTAATCTAGTAATATTTTTTCAGAAAAATGAATCTTGAGGCATATTTGCTAGGTATAAAACTGATTTAGACAATGAGATACAATGAGGCAGTCAGATATGATAATTTACAGTAATATTAAACGAGTATTTGAGTTCAAGTACCTGCTCCTAGAGATATCTACTGACTTCTGCCTTTGTACATTTACTAACTTAAGTTTCTAATATAGATATACTCTGTGCACAAGAGGAGCTAACAGTTGTCTAAACTGATTATTTGAATTGACAAAAGTCTTGAACCTATTTTGGAGTTAAAAACATTGTGTCTGGGAGGCAAGAGGAAAAAAAAAGGCGCTCAAGTGAAGTCTCAGACCACCTTTTCACCTGTTAGAACCCTGTGGAACCCTCTGTTCAAGTTCTGTTTTTCTCCTCTGGCAGTTGAGGGCAACATCATGTTAAGGTAATGAAGTGAAATGACCCTTTCGTTCCAATGTGTGTATGATGCGCGTCTTGAAGAAGACTTGAGATTGCTGAGCTCTGTCTTTGGCAAGTAAGTAAACTCTATTGTTTAACGCACTATATAAATACATATAAAGAGGTCAGTGAAATGCCATACTTCTGTTGCTTACATTTACTTACTTTTCTCAGGTGTCTTTTCAGAAGTTATATTTACGATTTGAAAACTGACAAAACTGGGTGGGCCTGCCAAAAGACAACCCACTTACTTGTTGGTTATCTACTTTCCTGCCTGGTTCATAATTCTGTATCTATATTATTTAAGCTCTAAGTTCCAGGTTTAAAGTCTCAAGTATTTTACCTCTTTGATTCCACAACTTCTGCGTTATACATGGGCATCTTCTCATCAGTATTTCTAAATTATGTCACTGTCATGGCAACAGCCTTTCCCCCTCATCCCTTTTTCTGGTAGAGCAGAGTAGGTTCTTCTAGAATACATTAATGAGTACTGGTAGTTCATTAATTAATTTGAAGGTTGCTTCAGTTTTTTTTGGCTCCTAGTGGGTCATTTCCATTGTCCTCTCCTTTAAACAAATTAACTTAGCCAAGAAAGCTGTTGTTTCCTTTTTTACTTGTTTTCATAGATATTTTCTCTGTTAAATAAATGAAACAAAAAAGCTTAACCTGCAGTTTAAACTTTTCTGTAGTTGTATCATTACACTTATTAATGCTATTTGCAGAGCTGTAGAAATCAACCAGAGACCTGCTTGACCATGCTGAAGTAGCTAAGAATGACCAACCTGACTCCTTTATTTTATGCTTCAGTTAAATAAGATGAGTTAATTCAGAATTGGAGTAAATTCAGGGAAGAAGAAAGCACTAGTCATTTTCGTGGGGTAAGTAAACCCAATTTAAAAATCACTAGGCAAATACATTCAAACTGGTTGCATGATTTCCTTTTGTGTGTGTGTGTGGGGGGGGGTGTTAAAGGGCCAGCCAACATGGAGGGGGGGTATTTTGTTGTTGGCTTTTTTTGTATTAGGCACCGTATAAACACTGAGTAGCGTAGAGACCGCATCTAGCAGAATTTAGGATCTAAATAGACAAGCTAGATTCACTATGGGGAAGAACCATGCCTCGTAAGCAGTAAATAGTCCACTGGCACCAAAACACGTTAATTTTGTTCTTTTGGGACTTTCTGGGGAGGAGAGAGATTACATAGGAAAAGACAAGCTGGGGAAAACAGAAGAGGGCCACAGACACACATGGTAAAGCATTAGGAAAGAAGGACTGGAGCAAACCACCAAGGGAAAAACAGTCTTAGGCAAGCCTGTCTGCAAATGTTGGACTGTCATATCCCTGCTTTTACTGCTGCTCCTCCTATGGGTGATTTCCTTCTGCAGTCTTCAGCTGTAGTTATATGGCAGGAGGAGAGGAAGCATCATTTGAGTGTGACTGAAATGAGGGTGATCTCCCTTGACTTGTTCTGGGCCCAGGAATATTTGAGGGTAGGGGGTTGATCTGTTTGAGCCTGTTTTGCTCTCTGTCTGTTCTTAATACACAGGATTTACAAGGCAAAGTACAAAAGGATCAGGATTTCTAGGCCATATTTTTGTAAAATATTCTCTTTACACCAAACTTTCTGCCTGGAGAGAATCTTCCTAAAGCTAGTGGAATTCCAGCGTATGTGGCAGGAAAGGTCCTACCTTAGTTTGAGAAGGATATGGCAGATACAAGATATGAGGAAGTAGAAGACATGCATGTCTGATGTTTTCTCTATCCTTTGCCTAAAGGAAAACACTTGAGTGGGACAGGCTTATTTTAAACATTTGGCAATTAATAGCAAGAAAAATAAAATGCCACAGCAACAAAATAAAAATAGTTCTAGTTAAAATAAAAACTGTTCTAGTTAAACAATAGTAGCTGAAATGAAAATTACAGGAGCCTAACAATCTTTGTCCATTTGAGAATTAAAGAATTAGCTGGGCTCAGAAGGGAGTTTTTCTATTACAGTATAACTTCTCACAACGGGAAATAGAGTTTTGGCCCTTTCTCTGAAGTATACGATCCAGTCGTTATTGCAGAGTCAGGACTCTGAACTGGATGTATGATTGATATGTTTCTGCATGGTATTGCTTGCTTTTCTTTCCTTTTCATAAGGCACTACGAAGCAGACTCTGTAAAAATTAAAATTCAAGATTTAGTCATTGAGTAAAAATGCTTCTCAGTTTTGCAAAAATGGAACTGTGCAAAAAAGGGATAGCAGTTGTAGTATTAAAAATACGATAGTGAATTCGGAATATTCTGCGCTGCAATTTGAGAACAATCTGCCTGTTTCTTGAAGATCTGCTATCTCTGCAATAAAGGAAAACTGTTAGTAATGTACAGGGTAGGTCACATAACTGGTTTGAGGGAAGTGAAACAAGTATGGATTTGTGCCTCTGTCCTATAATTAAAATGCTCAATGGGAATCATACATCAAAAAAAACCTCCTCAAAATTAGACAGTAGTTGACGTCATTTTCCTATAATATGTAGTTGAATGGCAACTTAAGAAAGGTGGGAAACAGGCTCTAGATTTTAGGTAGCGTATAAGAGTGAAAAGCTATCTTGTATGAAAAACAAAAGTAGAAATCCCGTTCAATGTCAGCATCTGGTAATCAATTACTGCCTCTTACATAACGATATGCAATTTCTGTGGTGACTGATTGCAGTTTTTATTTAGAATCTATTAAGTAAATGAATATTCTACTTGCAGAGCAGGTGGAACAACTGCTGCATACATTAATGTAGCGCATTCTTAAAAGACGGTACTTCTAATGCAAGCTCCTAGGTCTCTCTGGTTTTATAATACCTTTTCTTTTGTTTTGAGGCTCTCTTCTCCTTTCAAGCTAGAAATCCCGTTGCAGTCTAGTTTCACTCCTTTGTTTTACGGGTGTCTGTTAAGTGATGAAGAGCACAATTTATTTAGAAGATCAAATGTTGTTGAATTTTTTTGTCATGGCATGAGATGTATTCTAGAAGGAAAGGACAGGCAGTGAATTTGAAATAGAATGATTGGTTTGGCGGGGGTTAGTTATTTTTACAAAAGTCAGCTTATCGCTTTTATCTAAAATTAGTTTCTAGTTTGTTTTCTAGTCTTGTATTAACTGTGCAGTTAAAAAGAAGTAATGTTGGATTCAACTTTCAGATCACAAGGAAAATGCCATTTTTATTGGTGTTTCAGTAAAACCTTTGAGATAAAATTGCTCTTTATTGTATTGCTTTTGTTGTAAAATGTTATCTTAGTAGTGTAACATGGCACGAAGATGATTTTTGCCATCTAGCTGCTTATGTTTTGCTTATTTATGCCAAGGGGGTCTGTTTGTTGGTATTAGGTGGGTTGTTGTTCTTTCTAAGCTATTTTAGAGGTCTGTATAGTTGCACAAAAATAGAGAGGTTTAAGGCATTTCTCTCTTTAATGTAGTAAATAGATTCTCTAGATAGAAGAGTCAGTTCTTGTCTAAGTAGAATCTACTTTAATGTACATTTTAAAAACCCTGTATTTTAGTTTATGCTAGGTTTTAAACCCTGTTTTGGTATTTAGTGTATTTCATAATATATCTACTTGGAATTGAAACTACGTTATTTTACAACATGGATATTTGCATTGAAAAACAGTAATCATTTAAGCAAGTAATATATACAGTGTAAATCCATGATTTGATGTGAAAAGAGCTTACTTTAGATGGCTGGAGTAATGGGCACAGTAGAAAAGAACAAAGCTATATTATAATTTGTCACTTATGTCTGTGTAATTGCTTAGATATTATTGACATATGAGTGACATAAGTAACGATGATCTATTTCCACACATATCTTTATGCACTTATGTGCTGTTTCCATTTTAATGAGATTCGTACATTTCCCTTTTGGAATGGAGACTGTCTCTCTAAATAGGCAGTCCTTCAAAAAGGAAGAACAGCTTTGACGATCACCAACTGATTAGAACTGTTATATAAAAAACTGTTATCTCAGAAATAACATTCTGGAAAATAGAAAATGTAAACACTTTTATTTAATGTTACGTTGTCAGAGTAATATGTGCTTTTTCTGCAGCTTGGATAATGATAATACATTAGTGCATTATGTTTTCAAACTTTTACATTTTGGCCATGTGTTGGGCAGATTTAATTCGAACAAAAAAAAAAAAACTATTTTAAGGAAAATATAAAATAAAAAAAAAACCTGTAAAAATTTTCCAGAAAACACTTTGCATTTGCATTTTATTTTGTAAGAGTATATATTAACCCTTTTTTCCCTGAATTTTTTCCCTTTTTGTCCCTTTTAGGTTAATAATATAGCAGTAAAACCAAAAAGCTGCACAGCATAGTTGTTTTCATGGTTTTGAAAATGGCTGGCTAATAAAGGAAGAATAAGCATAAATCTTCAAATGCGGTATATATGTTTGCACTAGAGGTGGGCTGTGAGTCTGGAGTAATTGATAATGTGATATATGGAGACTGCATATTGATCCTATTGGTACGATTAGTTTGTGAATAACTTTTTTCTCTATGTATTCCCCCCCCCCACCAAATATTTTGGATTCTTTGTTGTATTCTTCATGATCACCTAAAAAGCATCACCAAAACATAAATAGGAAGGCAAGCACAGCTCTGCCCTGTTCTTTGACTTCGTTGCTAGAAAAACTATCTTACAGGCTTACTTTCCTTGAACTTTACCTTTGACAATGTTTAAGACTATTAATAGAGTAGAAAGAAGAGAGCTTTAAAACAGAAATATATACTGTTTTGCAAATCATAGCATCGTAGGAAAATCTGGGTTGAAGGGGACTCTGATAGGTATCTAGTCCAACCTCCTGCTTAAAGCAGGGTCCAGTTGTGAGATCAGATGTGGTGGAACATGGGTTTATCCAGTCTGGTCGTGAAAATCGCCCAGAATGGAGACTGCGCTACAAACAGGATTTTGCAGTCCAATCTATGCAAATGTTTAAAATTTTATGTTTTTCTTCCCCTTTCAAGTGTGTAAATTTCAGGTAACTAAAATTGTCCTGTGTGGTATAATTTCTAACAAATTCCTAAACTTAATTCTTCTAAATAAAGACATTTCCTCCCACTCGATCCCAATAAAATTGGGATCTGCTTCACTTATGTTTCTTCTTTTTTATTTTATTATTTTATGCCCTTTCTTTGAATAAGTTTTATGTCAGAATGAGTATGGTGACTTTCGATTGAATGAAGGGGCAATACGGCTTGAAAAAGGAAGGCAAGTCAGCAGCGATGTTGGGGCAGGCCTTCATAAATTGACTGTATAGAGAACAATGAAAATGAGCCATGAGCGTTTATTAGTAGTCATCTCTGTTTACCTTTGTCAGATTGAAGCCCGTGAAAGGCTGCAGAGTTTTTAACAGAGCCAAAAACGCGTTACTTTGTGTTAAGACCTAAATTTAACCTTTTGCAACAAAATCTGTGTGCATCAGAAATACGCACTGTCAAGACTGGCTTGTAAAGCTCTGTTGTTAGAGGTCATGACCAAGGTGATAGACATGTTTCTACAATGATTTAGATACAGCTGAACTCCCTACTATAAGCCTTATTTCCCAAGAAGCCTTTTCGCAGTGTTAACGTATTTGGTCTTGTTCACACTGTGCAACCAAAGTTATTTTGGCTTGAAGGTGGCATGTAGCTTTACTAAGGAAAGAAAAGGCTCATGTTTTTAATGCCTTTTTCCTGCATCTTATGGTTCACCGATGAATCATAAAAACAGAAGTCGCCTGAAGAAATACTGAACAATTTTCTGAGCCTTTGGATGTTTAAGCTCAAAAGGAAGAGAGAATGCATACCCTTTTCTTTGAACCAGTGTTCCCCTTCTTAAACATTCCAGCCTGATCACTCAGG